TAAATCATAAATAAAAAGGTGACATGATAATAATGTGTGTTGATGTGTGTTGTTTTTATTAACATTAAATCCATGTGTCATCTACATAATTTTCTCTTTTTATTTCTTTTTTTATTTTATCTTCTTTCTACAAAGATGAAAGTTTTACAATTTCATCCCTATGTCACGTTGACATTGTAATTATCATTCTCTAAATTCTTCTCCAATCACGTAAGATACATAAGAACTCTCCTCATTGTCTTCTACCATTATCAATTTAGTTTTCCCTAAATCACTTTAAAACTCACGAAACTCAATCCCATATCAACAACTCGTGAAATCCTAAACCATTGTGATCTATAATATTCACCATTAGATCAATGCGGAATTAACATATACAACTCGCTACCTCCTCCACTTTCCCACTATTGAGATTTGAAAAAAAGATGCTTCATCAACAAGAAATCAAAAGGAATATGAAACAAGGTTTTCTTTTCATAAAAATAAAGTTTGGGGGAATTTTAGAATTTTTAAAAGAAAAACGTTTAGTTGTAACGATGGTAAGTATTTAACAGTGAAGCGACCAAAACATGAATAAATCGAAAGTTCAATAAGTAAATTAAAAAAAAATTAATTTTAATGACATAAATAGAAGTGATAAAAAATTGAGTTATGAAATTAGTAATTTACCATTATTTATGTTATATATTAGAGAAAATGACCTCATTGACCAAAAATGCCTTATAATATACGATTTTAACCAACTTTTTTTGGATTTGCCAAAATAACCAACTAAATCGCAATGCGGTCGATAATTCGCATCGCGATCTCCGGTATCGCAAATCAGTTTCCAGATTTGCAACGCGAACTTCGACTATCGCAACGCGAACTTCGACTATCGCAATGCGAACTTGGACTATCGCAATGCGAATATGTAAATCGCAATGCGAACTTGGACTATCGCATTGCGATTTACATATTCGCATTGCGATAGTCCAAAATCGCAACGACTGGTGGTATTGCATTTGTTTCTTAAGAATTTTCTCTTAAAAGATAGTATTCGCGCGGACGTGTCGAAGCCACGTATTACCACGACCACGACCACGATCCGAGACGAGACGGACGGCGGCGGCGGCAGCATGCGAGAGTCTCCCTTGTTCTCTATCACTCAACAAGGAAGTGGGAAAGCCAAGCCTTAAATACCATTCCCAATAGTGTTTCCAATACTATGTGGGATTGAGCATTACCAACACTTGTTTCCAATACAATGTGATTATTCAGGAAACAATTAACAAGCATGCATCTTAAAACAACTGAATCAGCAACCAATTGCATTAGTATTATATGATTAAATATGTCATAATTAAATGTCAATCTACAATCAATCGCGATTATTACAATTTTAAGCAAAACATTCAAAAATAATATCACTATTTAAGGCTCAATCCCACATAGTATTGGGAACAAGTGTTGGTAATGCTCAATCCCACATAGTATTGGAAACACTATTGAGAATGGTATTTAAGGCTTGGTTTTCCCACTTTCTTGTTGAGTGATAGAGAACAAGGGGGACTCTCGCGCGCCGCCGTCGTCCGTCTCGGGTCAGGTCGGGTCGGGTCGGGTAGTGGTCATGGTCGTGGTCATGGTAATAAATCACAACGCGAACTTCGACTATCGCAACGAATTTGGAATAAATCGCAACGAATTTGGAATAAATCGCAACGAATTTGGAATAAATCGCAACGCGAACTTCGACTATCGCAACGAACTTGGAATAAATCGCAACGCGAACTTGGACTATCGCAATGCGAATATGTAAATCGCAATGCGATAGTCGAAGTTCGCATTGCGAATCTAGAAACTGATTTGCGATACCGGAGATCGCGTTGCGAATTATCGATCGCATTGCGATTTAGTTGGTCATTTTGGCAAATCCAAAAAAAGCTAGTTAAAATCGTATATTATAAGACATTTTTGGTCACTGAGGTTATTTTCTCTATCTATTATTGTTATCGTATTTTATCATCAACTTCAACTTATATTAATTAATTTTTATATATCATATCATATTTTTTATTGTAACATGCAATGAAATACAATACAAATAAATAAATAAATAATGGGGCAAGACAAAGCGATGTATCTCTCTTAACATGCAAGTACAAATTTATTCTTTCTTTTATTTATTTAAATTCATCATCTCCTTTTAAGGTTTAAAAATTGAAAGAAAAAGAAAAAAAATCAACCACCATGCTAAATGCACCGACTTTTTCTCTTTTACATTTTATTAATTATTATTTTATACTCGTCACACTTTCAAGTAAAAAAATATATTATCTTGCTGAGAGCCCGACGGTGCAAGAAATTAAGAAAATTTTCAAGTAAATAATTTAATCGTTTTTTAATTACTCAATTAATTTAAACATAAAACACATATTTTATTTCTAAATTAATAAAAAATAAAAAATCATAAAATTAGCCCTCAACATTTATATAAATGGCCACTTTTGGTCCCAATTCTTTTTTAAGAGAATTTTAGCCCTAATATTTTAATTTTTTATCAAAATAATCCCATTGAATAGAAACCGTTAATTGAGTTTGGTCAATAAATATTATTGATGTGACATATGTCACACTATTATTTTAAGTGATGTGATATATCACGTCATATATTTAGTTACGTGGTATGTGGTATGTGATATAAGTAATTAAGTACAAGTAAAAATGTCACATTAACAATATGTGTTGACTTTTAGTAAACTAATATTTTTTATCAAATAAGAATTTTTATTAAAAATCGAAATGTTAAGAGCTAAAATGCTGAAAAATATATATAGGTCAAAGTTATCATTATGACAAAAGTTAGGGGTTAATTTTATATTAAACAAATAAAAGGATAAACTATACACATGATTTCTTAATAATGAGAAGATTCTAATTTGATCATCAATCTTTCAATTTTATCAATCAGATCACTTAACTATTTAAATAATATCAATCAAGCCACCAGTAACATTTGACGGAGTAGAAGATACAAAAATTAATAAATTAGTATAATTACACATTTAATCATAATTACCTACCAACTAAATTTATTGAATTAATTAAAATTAAGATTAAATTGATAGAATATGTAAGTAATAAGAACTAAATATATAATTATACTAATTTTGTTAATTACCATATCTATTCATTTGTCAAATGTTAACGACGAATGACTAGATTGATATTATTTAAATTACTAAGTAATATGATTGATAAAATTTTAAAAAATGATTAAATTAAAATATATCATAATTAACTGATAATGGGGTGTAATTTATCCAAAATAAAACTACAAACATATTTGTAGAGAAAATGTATGTATTTCTATCCCGGCCTAAAGATACGATAGTCACAATAACAACGCAATTTATAAATAAAAAATACTTTTTAAAATCAATATTTAATAAATACAATACTATAAACAGATCCTAATTCTCTAAATTATAGAATCAATCCTAATACTTTCATGGATTTATTTATTTATTATTTTCTTGAAATATATCTTTAATTACTTTTGTTAGCTTTTCCTTTACATTTTTACTCTTATTTTTTCTTTGTAAACCAACTTTTTAAAATTTAAATTATATTTCCCCCACTTTTATCATTCTTTTTCTGTGTTCCAATCCGATGGGATGTCCCCCCTTTTTCTAAAATAATTATTAGTCAATAGATTTATAATCACAACACATTTTATAAAAACTATTTAAGCTTTAAATTAAAATACATTTAATATTTTAAAAAAGTTTAAAAAATATCTTGAATGATTGAAACTCGTGAAATACAAATTTAAATAAGGTTGTTAGTTTAAAGCGTGATATTATAAGTTAAATAAATTATCATTTATATAATAATTTGTTATAATAAAATTGTAAGATTAATCTATTACTAAATTAAATATTATTGATGGTAATATTAGGGTTATAGTTGCTATTGCAAATCATTATTTTGATATAGACGAATAATATTAGTAGATGGCCCACCGTCCACGATAGATTTATAAATGATCAACGGTGTCTGATTTATCCAATATATAAGAGAAGAGAATTCAAGAAGAAGGTGAAAAAATGGGCACTTCTTTAATTTTGTATGATAGTTTATATATAGAATTTTAGTATTAGTGTTAAATCTAAGATTACATTATTATTTTTAAGTTGATAAACTAAATAAATTTAATTATCAATATTAAATTATAAATTATGTGAACTTACTCGTCGTTATATTAAAAGGTCGTAGTTTTTCGAAGTACACAACGCTACGAAGGTTTTGAGGGACTCTGAAGTAGGAGTGTAAACGAGCCGAGTCGAGTTCGAGTATTGCTGAGCTTGACTCGACTCGAAAACTCTAAAATTGAGCTCGACTCGACTCGAAAACTCGCGAGTTTAAAATTTTCAAGCTCGACTCGAACTCAAAATCCTGAACTGAAGCTCGTGAGCAGCTCGAAAATGCTCGAAATGAAGAAAAAAATTCTTAAATTTAACTCGATTGAAGCTTCAAACTCGAACATGAACCTTAAATGCATGAAAATATTAATGTATTCTCTTTAAAAAAATCAATACATAAATATTAATATTTTTAATATTTTTTTTAAAAAAATATAATCTTATATATTATATTTTCGAGCTGCTCACGAGCTTTTCGAGTCGAGTATCAAGTAGCTCGTTTCGGCTCGTTAAGAATTCGAGTCGAGCTCGAGCTCGAGTCGAGTCCATTCGATCCGAGTATTTATCGAGCATTGATCGAATCAATCTCGAGTAGCTCACGATCTGTCTCATCTCATTTACAGCCCTACTATGAAGTACTTGTCAAATACCATATGATTTTCTATCATACTTATTCTAAATTAATCTATTAATAAATTAGATATAATATTATATTTAAGAAAACAAAATTAAGCAAAAAAAACATAAAATTTCTTAAATTGTTTGATATTTTCATGGATCCATCAATCAATTGCATAGGCCATAACAAAGCTTATGAATCTCATATTTATTTCATAATATATAATTATATATTGAGATTAAAAATCCTAGAAATTAAGCACATGGAAATTAATACTGGAACATGTTATCTGCAGAGGCCATGATAGGCTGATTCAAGTAGGCCAAATTCAAAGGGTTAAGGAAGCTATCAACCGCCGGTTCGTGATCGTCGTCATCGTTCAAGAACCCGATGATCTCATTCAATGACTCCAACCTCTGACCGAGCTCGTTGAGTTGAGCTCGGAGCACCGAGTTGTCGGCCTCGATGTTCAACAGATGTTGCGCCGTGAAGTTTATGTTGCTGGTGATGTCGTGATTCTGTTTCCTCAGCTGAGTCGCCTGAGTCATTAAATCGTCCCAATGCTTCTGTTTTCTCATCCTCGATCTCCTAGCCGATTCTCGGTTCGACACCATTCGTTTCCGTTTCCGTTCGTCGATTACCGCCTGCAGATGGTCTTCCTCCGCCGAGCCGGAGTTTTGAGTTACGGTTGTCGTTGTCGATGAACCTGATGATGTCCCACTTGAAGAAGCCATGGAATTTGCAGATTTTTTTTTCAGAAACAATAAAAAAAACAAGACAGATTATTTATTATTATTATTATTATTACTATGATTTTAATAAAGAGAAAAAAATGGATGATTTGCTGAACTTATGAGACGTAATACAACCAGTAGAGGAAAACAACTGAGAAAGATTGAACGAGATGGGTCCTGCGAATGAATGTGGAATTGATCATAAACCCAGAAAGGAAGATTTCACTGAGAATTGCAGACATGAATCTCAAACATCAAGACAAAGAGGTTGAGCATCAATATTTTTTTATAGGAAAAAACACAAAGCAAACAAAGAGGAAGAGAAGGGGGGAAGTAGAGGAATGAATCAAGTGAAAGGAGGGGTGATTTATAGCAGGAAGAATGGAACTGCAAGTTGATGGAAACTCCGAAACTGAAATGGAAAAGAAAAATATGAGGAGAGAGAAAACAAATAAAGCTAAAAAGTAATGGAATATGTTGTGAGAGAAAAAAGTTGATGGAACATGTGGGGTGAGGAACGGAGGAGAAGCTCCACAACTGCCTACATCCAGCTGGGACTCATCTCCTGTTTACATCATGGTCTGCTGCCAATGTCCAATTTTTTAATTCAACAATCTTGTAAATTTATATAAATTATTTATAAAAGTAGATTGAATTGTTTTTTTTTTCTTTCTAGAGAGGATTCAATAATCATCTGCAGTCGTAGATGGACTGAATTTTTACAATAATGCATTAAAAAAATAACTCAAATAATATTGTGTAAAAATTATTTCATGAAATAGGATGAATGCTATAATATATCTCGAAATTGTGTTGTAATACCCATATACTGATGTGGGTGATCCGATCCAATCCAATGTGTCACATTAAGGCCACTGGAACGATCCATCGTAAAAATCCTAGAAAAATTAAAATTTATTTTAAAACAAGTAAAATCATAAAACAAATTATATTTAAAAATACAAGTTTCAGACTCATGATGACAATCAAATGTGACTTATATCGTACTTTGCAAGCGAAGCCGAAAGGAACTCCCAATACTAAAGTTGATAGCTGCACTAAATCGATTCTTTTAACATGAAAATGAGAGTCAAAGATGAGCTTTGAGAAGCTCAGTAATACACAACTACCAAGTGATGCTGAAGGACATGCATATAAATGGAAAAACATAAATTTTCTTTATAGATTTAACAATCTACAAGTTTTCGTAATGAACTGAGGTTCTAATGATATATCATCGAGTAAAAACCAGGAATATTTCAGTTCATAGGAAACATTCATAGTACCAAGTTTTCAAGAGATCATAATATGATGTCTAGTGTGTTCCAACCAAAACTAGTGAATAGATAAAGACATTTTTAAAACAATAACAATTTAAAACATATTTTTAAAACTATAGTAAAACCCTCAAACCTAACGCCAATATGCAGTTCCCCAAAACTGCATCCATAATAATTTACCTTAAGCACACAACAAATAAGCCACTTTAAGGGAATACTTTATGGCCTATAGGCCTACCCAAATGTCTCTTTAGGCACACAAGGATTTACCACCTTTATTAGAGTTGAACCTCTATACTCTAGAATCCTACCCATACAGTATACAATAGAAATCAGATTTAACAGTATCCAGTAGAAATCAGATTTAACAGTAAACAGTAATATCAGGATCGTGATCCAATAAAATCTCGTAATTGTAACAATGAAATAAACCATATAATTTCCATTCACCCGTACACTATATGTAGTCTCATGATTAACCCAAGGGAATGCCTTAGGGCCTGAGAGCCTATATAAGAAAGTTTATCGGGGGCCTTAGGGCCTACCCAAGGGTCGCCTTATGTCCATAAGGAATTACCAGCTGATCGGTGCTGAACCTATATAAGGAATTACCAGTCGACCGACACTGAACATATATAAGGAATTACCAGCTTGATCAGAGCTGAACCTCCATACCCCAGCCTACTCAGATAATGTCCCAATAAAACAGTTCAAGTAGTAACCAGTATATTTCATGATCCATAAATCAGGAACGATCATATTTTACAGTGAAAACATGAAACCATAGAACATATACCATGTAACCATAGTTCATAAGCTAGTAAATCACTAAATTTGTGATTTCGGAAAATCACATTTTAAAATAGATAAAACATTTGCATGTCACATAAGGAACACACTAGATGATCCAAATATTATTCGGAGATACTTGGTATTTATCAGGTAGGGAACCATGAAACTTTTGTAATTTAATATAATTTTAGAATCGAGATACCTATAAAATGGGGTTTGATAGCTAACTGATTAATCATTTATTCGAGAAATGATTTATCAAGATCATACAATATTCAAATATTTTTCGTAGGCAATTGAGTATCAGGAAGGTATTCAAAATCTTTTACATCATAATTATTTAAGATTTAGACATAATATGAGTGTTCTGATTATTCAGACAAATAAAGGGCATTTTAGACATTTAGTCTTGGAGAATTATTAGTAATTTAATCCATTAAGGGAATAACGATGATTCATGGTATTTAAGATTCATGTCGATTTATCAGGATATCGAGGTAGCTCGAACTGAACAAATCCCAACACTGATATCTGTCAACTGGCTAAATTGATGCACCACAATGGTATTCACACTTTAATACTGACAACTCTTGTCAAACTGATCATCTTTAAAATCATCGTTGAATGAATCTTAGGGATACGAACATGTGTTCCAATGGTTTTTATTGCATTTCTGTAATACAATGATATCAAGAAATGTCGATATGGTTGATTATTGGTTCAACACCCTTATGGACAATACAACATATAGGTTCATTAGCGTTTCCATACTTATCTAAGTCATTCCCTTAATTCTAGGTCTTTGATGGTACTTAGTCCATTTATTAGTTAAGTCTATCCCAGTCACTTCGAAGTTTTTAGAGTAATTCGGTCGTTTCTACAAATTTGAATATATACAGAACATCCATTCAATTCAACATGGTCATATAATATAGTCATTTTGGTATTCTAGGTTGATTTATTCATTTCAGAGCTGAGGGTATTTAGTTATTCCAGAGCTTGGACGTACTTCGAATCATTTTACCCTTCAGGGGCATTCCAAATAAATTAAGAATTTAATCAGTGATTCCAAGATTCAAGTGGATCAAAATATAAGTTCTCAAATTGTCTCTATTATCATAGTCATCCATAGTCCTTTTTTACATTTTAAGCGTATTATTGTCATTTCATTCAATTATGTCAGTGACATTACTTCCGATAAATTAGGCTTCAAAATATCATAGTTTCTTTAGAGTTCAGGTTATTTTGGTCATTTAAACAATTGAGGTTATTTCGTAGCTCGAGGATATTTTGGTAATTCCTTTAATCCATACAATATGCACTTTTTATGATAATTGGTCAAGTATGTACTTTCTAGGTTATTTTTCACCATTATAGGAAGTCTTGGTCTTTTACAGTACAAGGGCATTTTCGTAATATTATCATATAAGGTTATTTTTTTGTAATTTCACCCAACCGAAGTATTTTCATAATTTCTCATCCAAGTACCTTTGGCTTTTAAAATTTAATGAGATAAATCAGAATTTACATATCCTTGGGTTGATTGCTTTACTGCTTAATCGCATAACTTGAAATTAAATTCCTACTGGTCCCCGAGTTTCTTATACGAGTCATCTGATTCATATTCGGTTATCGACTTTTTATCGTATTCGGATCGAGTTTAGAAATAATTTACTATATAGATGACACCAATCATATTTATCCATGTATCTACCAATTCCAACATGTTCCATATAACATGCATAAGGTAGTAATATATTACCTCAATTTTTGTGCCACCGATCGAACATTTAAACTCCATTATATTACTCTCGAACTTGAATTCAACATCCAATAATTCCTCGGATACATAATAACCGAATTTACGTCAGAAACTGAACTTAATTGAGAAACCAAGTTGAATCCAAAGATAAAATACTAAAAAAGGCTTACTGAGTGCGAATTTGGCAAAACGGACTTCGGATTCAGACTCAAGACGTCGAAAAACATAAAATATGTATTTTCGAAAATTTTGACTTTTCAGGTCAAAGTCAACGGGTTGACTCGGTCGGATCAAACATACCTGGTTTGACTGGGTTGGTCGGTTCGATCTGGGGACGAGCCCTATGTGCACTACCGACGCGTGACGACGCGTGTGGTGGCGACGAAGGTTGGGGACGACAGACGATTCATCCTTGGTCTCCTACGCACTCGAATTCATGCATTAATCAACCAATTTCACAACAAAACTAGTCAAAATTACCCAAAAATATTAAAACCAAGCTTACTCACTCCGTCGATGATGAAATAACGACAATGCTTTGACGCATGGGTTGGATCACGAGCGCCCGAGGACGGCGATGCTAACGACGCAGGCAGTGAGGTGAGGCGACTCTTGATTGGTGACATTCGAGTGGCAATCAAACGGTGGGGTCTTAGAACTGACAAGGCTTCGATGGTCCCTATACGACGATCAGTGACCAAATCCGGAGCAACAAGGGAGGGGTTTTAGTCGTCGGTCAATGACGAATCGAACGGGGGTAGTAGTGGGCCGATTGTGGCCGTACGAAGAGGGCTTGGGGAAGCCGATGAGGTTTTTATGGAGGGGTTTAGGGATTTGATTTCTTGAAATTGGGGTATTTTTTTATTTTTCTTTGCCTATATAAAATGGGAAAATTTAGGGTTAAGTCCCTAAACTTCCTAGAGTTTTAAAATCGAGCTACAAGTTTCTAAAACTTGTAATTTAATCCCTTAATTTTACTTAAATAAATAAAATCTAGCCCATAAATTGGGGTGTGACACACACTATCGTCCGAGTGTACAGTCGATACCCCTCAAAGACGTATTGGCGTCTATGCGATTTGGATTTTGTCGGAGGACGCAGGGCAAGGTCGCATGGCTTGCCATGCGTCTCCCTGGGGAGAGGGGGTCGGTTGCCACTCACCTAGGTGCATCTCCCTTGGTCTCCTCACGTGGTCGATAAAGCCGTATGACATGCCACTCACGTAGGTGCAATAGGTAGCTGACATTTGAATGATACAAGTTTAACTAGACCCCTATCCTATCCTAACCCATACCTTGTAATATAAAGTTGAACATTAAAAAAATTTCTTTGAACTATATATATGTAAGAATGAAATCGGGGCAACTGCAATTCAGAAAATTGATAGAGGGAGCAGAAACAATTGCAAATAAGATTAACAGAGGGAGAATTTCATGGTATGTCCCAATCCAGTTAGATATGTTGTAGTACCAGTTGAAGAAGATGATGATATTGGAACTATGATTGGATTACATGAGTCAACAATTTTTTTCAGTTATTAAGTTATTTTTTGATGTGCGTAACATATCTGATGTTCCTAGGTCATTAAGAAATGTGACTATAAATTCATCTCAAATGGCTTTCGGAAGCGAGTTTTGAGGACCCGACATACAGATCGATAAACAATTTTATGGCACTATTGGAAAGTGGAAATAAAGTCGGTGAAACATCGCAACAACTGAGTACGAAGAAAAAAACATGTATAACTCAAAATTGACTGTTGATGTTGATGCTGAAAATTGATGGGGATAAATCAATGATGATTCTAGCGAAGATGAAGAAAATGAGGAACCCGTTTTTACGACAATGATAATTTTGGCTGTGGTGGTACACCTAACCTGGCCACTGATGAAGTTTTGACACCGTATCAACCTACCCCTCACATATACGAGATATATTATAATGCGATAAGCGCACCAAAATTCCCAGACATGCCACATATACTTCCATACCACATGGCTGAATCATTCAAAAATTATGGTGAATTTTCGGTTGGGATGTAATTTAGAGGAAAAGATAAGCTACGCTGGCAATTAAAGAGTATTGCATCAAAGGTCATATTGATGTCCATGTTGTAGAGTCCAACAAAAAAACCATATATGCGAAGTGTGTTAAATATGTCCCAGAGTGCAAGTGGAAAATTCGCATGTCCAAAATTCAGAGGCATGATATTTGGGTCATTACAAATTACAATGGTCCTCACACATTTTTGCGAAACTCAATCGAACAAGAGCATCAACTATTGGACTCCGATGTAATATGCAAATATGTGAAGGTGTTGATTGAGAAGAATCCAAGGATCCCTTGTTCAGTGTTAATTGCATTCGAAGCCAATTTGGATACCAAGTAAAATACGGTAAGGTTTTGAATGTGAAAATGAAGGCAATGAAGCTAGCATATGGAGATTGAGATACATCGTACAATGAGCTACCACATTTTTCACAAGCAATGAAGCGATTCATCCCAGGAACTATAGTGTAGTCTCAGACCATGTCTGCATATGACGAAGAAGGTCAACTTGTTCCAAGGAAGAAAATATTTCATAGACTTTTTTGGGCATTCAAGTTATGCATAAAAGGATCACCATTTTGCAAACATATGGTCCAAGTAGATGGTATGTGGTTGTATGGTCAATATAAACATGTATTGTTGATGGAAGTTGTACAAGATGGTGAATGAAATCTTACTAATTGTATTTGCCATTGTTGAAGGAGAGACAACAGAGGTATGAGATTTCTTTTTGACCAATCTACGTCAATATATCGTTTGAGAAGATGAGGTTTACTTGATATCCGAACGAGGAATAGGTATTTTGGCGGCAATTGAACGACCAAGAAGTCGTTAGATAGCTCTGTATGCATATCCCACATTTTGTATCCACCATATTGGTAAAAATAATATCAATTAGATTGAATTTGAATACACGATTTGCATTCAGAGATAGTTTTCTCACAATCTCGACTTTGCTTTGTGATTATCGGTGGTCCTTCAGTAGTTTGATATCTTATTGTGGTTCATTTATTAATGTGGTCAGATCTATTTGTATTTATATTTTCGAGCTTTTATGTGTTTTTAATTTTTTCTTATATAATCATTGTGTAATCTTAAATCACTAATTTCTTTTATCAATAATTATAATAAATGTTTTAATTATATATTTAATTTACGTTTATGATTGAGAATTTTTTTTATAATTTAAAACATTTCCTCTCTAACTTACAACTTCTATTCATAAAAAAAATTAGAATAGGACGGGTCAAAATTTTAATTTCTAAATCGAAGCCCCATCATAACTTAACTAAATCATTTTCTTCGATAAAACACTTGTTTAAGAGGAGAGAAATGGTTTAGCTATATATTTTATTGATATTTTATTGATTTTGTCTATTCTGAAAATTTATTTGTATTCAACTCATTCAAAAAATTTATGTTATTAATATATGTATAACAACCCTAAAAAAATATTAATAGATTCGTCACTAATCACATTAGGCTTTATAAATTTTCTCATAGATCATATTCTTTAAAGCTATGTTATATTCAATTTAGAACCTTTTACTCTTCTTCTGAACTTGCAAAATTTCTCTACACGATTCTTATTAGTATAATTGTGTGAATCATTGAACTTATTAAGTGGTTTCAGTTGTTAAAGAGAGTATTGTTCTCTTGAGATTTTGGATTCAAGTAGTTATGTTTGCAGGATATGTATACATAAGAGAGATTATGAACATATATTATAATCTTACGAGACTATTAAAAAAATTATGTAAACCATTGGTAACTTTTTTCACAACTTTATGTATAAAAATTATTATTTAAAAAAAAAAAAAAAACTCTTTTTATTATGAAAAGGGTGGTAAAACATTTTGAGCCGTTAATAAAGAGGTTGAATCAATAATCAAGCGTCTACGATCATGTTAAAGTTATTCCATAAAAATCCAATCAAATCTCCCAAAGAATACGATTCTGTGCATTTGGTCTACAACTTGATCTAAAGAACACCATCCATTTATATGGAAACCAAGGATTATTATATAAAATAAAGGTTAGACATATTTAACGTGAAGGTAACAAGTGCACGGATCGTTTGATTAATATGGTGTTTGAACAAATAGGCGAAATCACCATTTTATCGATACCCCAAATGAGTTAATCCCTTTATATGGGCTAACGTCAGAGGAGATAACGTGTTCAGGATGTAAATTACTGTTATTTCTCTTGTTATACAAAAAAGTAAAATTATTTAAAAATATATAAGAGGATAGAGCAAATCTATATGGTTTGTTGGTTAACTTGAATTGTTCATTTTTATTCTTTCGTATATTTTTAAATCAAAAGTTATAATTATATATCTTAATTAAATAGTAATATAATATTTTTATAATATATCAAATGATATTATATTTTGAAAATCTATATTTCGATATAATCAATTCATATTTTTCCTTAAAAAAGAGAGTGTAGCAGCTTTGTTCATTTGTTTCACCGTTGCAATGTGGACACGACTCACTTGGAAAGTGAGACTGTAAGAGTACTTTGAAAAATTATTTATTAGTACGTCTACGTGCATCCAGTTTGTCCAAACTACCCTTTGATTTGACATGACATGTTCAATATACATAGGGCAAATCTGCCTTTCAAAATTTGTAGGACCTACATTCCTCTTCTTCCAAAATCCTTATAAGACATGAAAACATGTTAATTATTAATAATCACTTCATTTTCATGCCCCCAACATTTTTGTCTTGGTGCGGTGCCCATGGCTGACTTCGCCATGAAGAAAAATATCTTGTGAGTCGTCAATAGCCTGCCCGAATACGAAACCGAAAACGACCCGTCTTTTATTTCGTATCGTATAACCGTATCGCATATAAAATTATTGATTTTATGAGTACTAATAAAGAAAAAGTTGAGATAATTCGATTTCAACCGAACAATAATTAAATTGAATTCAAATGAATAACTTATTAGTTGGATTTTAATATTTTTACAAAGCAAAACAATGCGTATTTTCATCTGTGGGGCTGAATTTATATCTCCCAACACCATCACCAACGACAAGTTTTTCACATTACAGCATGTTAATGGCTTCTGCAATCATAATAAACGCGAATGAAACCGTGAAGAACAAGCATTTTTCAACATGTATAAGTAGAGTTTGCATCATATTTGTTTTTTAGCCTTTGAAGCAGTGAAAATTTTGGTAATTTGCAGATTGTTTCATCTCTTTCTTGTCGATGAATTTCTGAAACTCCGGCTGTTTACCAAGCATCCTCAAGTGCCTGCACATGGAAAGATGGCAAACAAAAAAAGGTTATGTATGTATGTATGTTTGTATGTGTGCGTGTTTGTGCACCTTCTTGGCTTCGGATAGTTCTTTGTCGGGTGGCATGACGGATGGTTTCGCGCTGAGGAGAAACACTCTCTCTTCGAGTTCGGCCATGGCGAACAATTCCTTGTTAGTGATCGGCGGTGGCAACTGAGACTCAGGGCCTGTAACTTGCTTAGCACAGCAAACTTGACCACCACCATACACGGGGGCTTCGCTTTGTTTCTTCGGCATGCGACGGGACATTCGAATCAGGGTTATGATTCTTATCACGAACGCCATGATTCGTCCGAGAATGCCGCTTCCCGTTCCTTCACTAGATTTTCTACTATTGTGCACCTGGTATATATCTGCATTTCAAATCCTTCCCTTACCTCCAAAATAAGGCCTTAGATCTACTCATCGAATGTTAACGAAAATGGAAATGATGTGTACAAAATTAACCTTTCGAGAAGGCGAACTTTTCGTTTTCCACTGGTTTAGGCCAAGAAGCATCCACACCCTTGTCAACTATAGGAATAAGTTGATCATAGTCACAGGAATCTTGGTACATTTTCTTGATTGGAGTCTGCAATATATAAACACATGTACTTGTTATGGGATTGTTATACAGGTTAGAGGCCTTGACGTCAAACTTACTCCTCGAACCGGAGACGATGAAGGATTCTCCGAGGGCCATTCAGTGCTGTCCATCGCTATTTCTTTGTCGGAGGAATGAAGCTTCATGGTCCACAGCATCAAAACAAAATGTTAGGCATTAACTAGATCTTAAGGCTAGTGTTGCAGTCTTGCAGAGGCTTGGCTATAAGTGATCGATGATCGATTACCTCTCGGTGTGCTTTCTCATTGATGATGCCTGATAGAGTTCTCCCTGTGCTCTTGGCCTCGCCATTTTCGACTCTCTGCTCATCAATGTGAAAGTTGTTCATTTCGTTATTTCAACAACGATGCAAAGTAGATATTATCCCGAAAATCAATCGATCGATCTCAGGTGAATACCTTTAGTATTTCTGGATCGTTCCATGGACCCTTATCAGAAACCATGCAACCTCCTTTGTCTGCACAATTGCAGGTACCACCAAAAAACTCAGGCAGTTCACCGTTAAAGATCACAAAAAAGATTCTTGGAGGATCATATCGCTGTATGAATACATCTATGTTTAGATATGCATCGGAAACAAGTGCGAATCTACATGTATTTTATCAAAACGACATTTCAATCGGTCAAGACAAGATTTACCTAGCATCAATGACTTCCAGCAAAACCTGGTGTTTTAGCAAACAATATGGTATCAAATGCAAATCTATTTTCAAGGAACTGGTGATCTATGCTTACATGGATTTTTGTAGTGGTGTTCGGGTGAAGGAACGATTTAACTGTGCTCCATAACAGCCTAAATCCAGAACCAGCATTGATGATATAGATGTGGTTAAGAGTCTGCAATGTATATAAAGCATTCAATTAGCTTGGGATTAACCCGATGGCAAATGCTTCATCTTGACATAGCAGGCTCCCATGGATCACAAGGCACATTAAACAGAGTGCTTATGATTAATGACTTACCACGGGATAATTGTCACCATCGATCTTCTGAAGGCGCTGAAAGAGATCTTTCGCCCCCTTGTTGAAGCTCTTATGCCCCTGAATGCTCATTCATGATGTAAATATTAGAACACAAAAGCCGAATTCGGAGAAATAAACAAAGAAAAATCGCACATACCACTCCTTCGACATCCAATATAGTCGTGTTCTGAGTAATGTAGGTTTTCGCTGCAACAGATGCAGCAGGAAACTTAACATTCAAGGTCCTTTCAAAGTCCTTCACATGGTACCTCAGATAACGGTCAATCGTTGTTACTTGAGTTAGCTTGTTCGCATTGACTTGTCCGAGTCTTTCGATATAAACCGGTCGTCCACCTTTATCGACTCCGTGATATCCTTGAGGATAATACTTAATCACCTCATCGTATTCCTCAAAATCGAAATCCTAAACAAACGAATCCAAAACATGAAAATTCAGATGCAAATTACAAAGATGAAAACATGTAGTCAGTATTTATACCTCCATGATTGTGTCAGTCCCAAAATCCTTCCTCCATTGGAGCATATCAGCCCACATTTGCTTTGCTTTATCTTGATCAAATTTCCTGGCCTTAAGAAATCTGTACTCACCAGATATGACTTAATGTCATCGAAGCTATGTTACTCGGACTCGAATATGAAAAGATTATATACCTTAGCATCATATGATGATCATCATGTTTAGCAGGCAATAGATCGGCCGCGATGAGTGCTTCTCGAAATGCAGCCACCGATTGTAGCTCTTTAGCATCGAGGACATCTTCGATATGATCAGCCGACATTCGACCTTGTCGATCGACAGCTAAAGACGAAGTGTCATCCATGAGTTACAACAACAACCTTGCAGTGTCGTTCAATGCCTGGTTAGAGAAAAAGGGTTAGCCTCAGATTTTAATGTCTGCAAATGTAGAAACATCAACCACATAATGATGATGATGATCATACATGAAACCTACTTAAAACAAAAACCAATGACTACGGGGATGAAATAGAAGATGAAGCATAGATGAAGATTGAATGAGAGAAAATTTAGTGAAAAAAATGGGAGAAATGTTTACCAGCATGTGTTGAGAGGAAGAGGGTGCACGGGACAATAACAGAGAAAGGGTGGGGGGACCCGAATAAATCTCTTTGAATAGATATTTGTCTGGAGAGATCAAAACGGCCATTGATTTTATATTTCTCTGAGTTAAATTTTGCAGATTTAGTAAAGAGTTTTCTTTTGAGTTCCTGATAAAAATGGTGAGGGAGAGAGAGAGTTTGCCGATTTGCATGGCTTTTCATTGGTTTTTCCCCCATCTTTTAACCGACTTGTCAACTGAATCCAACCTTTTTCTCTATTCTAGGCTACAATTGAATTGAGAATCCAATCACAATAAAATCTGATCTGAACTAAAAAAAAATTGGACAAGAACTCACAGAAGATGGAGTGATTTATTTTTATGTATTGGTCAATCTCTTAATAAATATAGGCGTAATTGATATTGTTAACCCCATAGTATCCCCTTCAGCCTTAGAAATAGAACAAGACCCTTTAGGTAAGTATTGAGAATAATTTTCGAATTTAAAATTATTATTTTTCAGTTTAAATATTGATTTTTCTTATGATACCTATATCATATGAAATAAGAGTTAAAATCTAGACAAAATATTCTTGAAATATCTACACCCATTCATAAAATATAGATAGCATCAACAAATTTTGAAAGGTTTTTAACCCCTATGCCTTTAATGCTTTACATTATACATGCAATGCAGAACTATACATGTAAAAATTAGTTCATGGAAAAATATTAAATAAATAATTTTCTAATATTAAATTGAAAACTCTATAAAATAAAAAGTGGAATGAGCAATATCGAACATAGTGAACCAATTATAATATAACCAACATTCGTTTTTTACATTGATACAAAATATAGCAGCCATGGATGAAACAAGTTTTTTTTTGTTTTTTTGAATTTCCAACATTTTTTTCCTGTTCTTAATACAAAATGTGCAAAAATTATGACCAGCAGTCATTTCAATAGCAAAAACAATATAGAAAGAAAAGAAACCAAAAACGTATGATACAACCATTGCTCACTTGTGTATATGCTATAAAACTACATGTGCAAGGTGTATTGTTTTATCCTTTGTTTCAATTACAAAAGAAAAATGGGATGACAAGAATTATATTCCCAGTAATGATCTAATTAATTCCGAGACGACAGATCGGATTACGTTTGATGAGGCTAAGATCGACCTGTAATAACGATGGCACTTTCATGAGTAAATTCCATCTGAAAAGAACCACTACATGGAAAGAAGAAAACATGTTGGCATATGTATTAGTACCTTATGTCCGAACAGATCCCTAATGTTATCAACCCCGTAGAGTATCATAGTCGGCCTACATCGTTGTGAACAAATAAGAAATATCAAGATATAGTTAAAGTTTTGCTCTGAAGAATTTCGAAAAGATGACATTTTTTTTGATAAGATTTGAAGGTCTCTTTAAAAACCTCCTTCTTGATTAATGGAGCTTGTAAAGAAGCTTCTTAATCATCGGAAGGAGGAAAAGAGTGTCTTATAATTTCATTGAAGAAAATAAGAATTACAACCTTGGAAAGAAAAATCCAAGTAGAACCCTTACAACAATTCTTGAGCCTTAAAACCGAACTATAGAAGTCAACAACATAATAATCAACCTATACCAGCCTTTGCTAGAGCATCGGCATCCATATTAGCTGTCCTTGCAATCCATCTAACAACCCCCCGACAGTTTTAAGACACTCAACAATATCTCTAACAATGAAACCATAAACAGCTGGACATGAGACAACCTTATTGATCCAGTCTACTGCAACTCTGCTATCACTCTCTATGATCAACCTATCTTTAACCCTCCCTAGGACAGAGGTAAAGAAAGAGATACCCCTTTGGATAGCTTTAAGTTCCTTCAATGTTGGAGGTCCAGAACCATCCGGTTCCTGAAAAGAACCAAGGATTGCACCAGAATGATCCCTCATAAGACCACCCAGACCTGATTTTTCCCAATCACAACTAATTGCTGCATCCACATTCAACTTGATGAAACCCGTAGGGGGAGGTAACCAAGGGGTTATGGAAGACTTCAAGAAATTGTAGGACGAGTAAGAATCCCCTATAGAAGGATCAGAGATTAAGGAGTCCTTAGGAATAGAAACATCCTTATTCTTTGCTAAATACCAAGAGGCCAACCTAACTCTTGTTAAGAAGAATAATTCAGTCTGATCGAGCTTCCCCCCTTCAAAAACTATGTAATTCCTGAATTTCCAGATTGTCCAAATAACAGCCCCAGGAATGAAAGTCCAAATTACCGAATTAGATTTCAACTCATCCCAAGCAAGAAGAAATTTTTTTGCTTCTGCAGAAAACACAGAACTAAATCTCCAAAAATTTAGAAATTTATTCCACAAAGACCACGCAACCGAACAGGAGAAGAATAGATGCGAAGAAGATTCTTCAACCATTTTACAAAGAGGGCATAAGCCATCCTCAAACTCCTCTTTTAACCAATTCGGATTTAACTGCAATTTTTTGAAGCACAATTTGCCAAACTAAAGTTTCAACTCTAGGGGGAACCAATCCTCTCCAAACAATCTTGTTCCAGAAATGAGACTCTTCTGAAATTGAAGCACAACTCTTAACACAAGAACCGACTGTATAAACCCCATCCCCACTGCCTTTCCAAATCAATCCATCGCTAGAATCAATAGATAGAGAGAAGGAAGAAATGATGCTCACTAAATTGCACCATTGTTCAAGCTCCCAATCGTTTAAATTTCTTCGAACTTTAACATCCCAAATCCAGCCCGAAGAAAGAAATTCCCCAAACTCACAAAGTTTACCGAATTTATTAGTTGACAGTGAAAACAGTCTAGGAAATAGAATCTGAAACGGAAAATCAGCAGCCCAGCCAAAATCGAACATGCTTACCATTTCCGACATAAAACTTGCACAAACTATGGAACTTACAACCAAATGAGTCTTGTTTGAAATGGTTATTAACCACTGATCTCCACAACCAGGAGGATTGAGAAGGAATCTTGCTGTCAAACAATAATATAGAAAAGTCAATGTTGTATTTGCTACAAATAAAATTCCTCCAAACAGAATTTCTCTCATTTGCAAACCTCCAAGACCATTTCCCTAGCAATGCTCTGTTCATAGAAATCAGATTCCGAACTCCCAAGCCTCCCTCAGTCTTTGATTTGCAGACATCATCCCATTTAACCCAGTGTATCTTCTTAATACCATTGCCCCCTCCCCATAAAAAATTAAACATAATAGAATTGAGAGCCTTGAGGATAGAAGCTGGAATCTTGAAGATAGACAAAAAATACGTAGGTAGTGAGGACAGAACGGATTTGATCAAAACCAATCTCCCTGCTAAAGAAAGAGTAGCAGCCTTCCAACCTGCTAATTTAGAGTGAAAATTATGTACCACTGGTTCCCAGATAACAGAGGAATTCCTAGTAGCACCTAGAGGGAGGCCTAGATAATTAGATGGGAAGTTTCCCACCAAACAACCGATAGAATCTGCCCAAGTTTTAACCTCCTGTTGGGATATATTAATCCCGAAGAGTCTGCTTTTCTTAAGGTTTAATTGCAGCCCTGACATAACCTCAAATACTCTAAGCACCCTCTTCACATTCATAATTTGAGTCTTCGAAGCTCCACAGAAAATAATTAAGTCATCCGCAAACTGCAAGTGTGAAAGATTAAAAGACCCCTCCTCCTTGCCAACTGTCAAACCAGCAAATAAACCCTCCGAAACAGCTCTTCGGATTAAAAGATTCAATAATTCCCCCACTAGGTTAAAAAGTAAAGGCGAGAGTGAACATCCCTATCTAAGGCCCTTGGCCATTGGAAACTCCTCGGATGGAACCCCATTAACTAACACTGAGATTGAAGCTGTAGAAACACATCTCCTAATCCAACTTATCCATGTGAAACCGAAACCCATTTTTTCCATCACCTTAAACAAAATAGGCCAGTCAACCGTATCGTATGCCTTTTTGAAATCAACTTTAAACACACAACCCTTTAGCCCTTTCTTCCTCCAATAATCAATACCCTCGTTAGCAATGAGTGAGCAGTCCAAAATTTGTCGACCGGGAATAAAAGCGAATTGAGTCGGGCTTATAAGATCTCCTATACAACTTCTAAGCCTCCTTGAAAGACACTTGGATAATATCTTATACACTCCTACTAGGCTTATAGGTCTATAATCATCAAGACTTCCAATGTTAGATTCCTTAGGAATAAGGGTAATAAAAGTATGGTTAATACCATGTTCCCATTCTTTCCCCACAAAAAATCTGTGAAAAAACTGCATAATATTCCCCTTAAGAACAGACCAAAACCTTTTAAAAAAACCCAAGTTCAATCCGTCGGGCCCCGGAACTTTATTGCTATCACAAGACTTTAGAGTTTCCCAAACCTCCTCCTCGGAAAATTCCTTCTCTAAAAGCATATTCTGTTCGAAAGAAATTCTGGGAAAAACCAAACCAATATCTTTAACTTCTAAAGTAGACCGATCATTATAAATTTTGAAAAAATGATCTTTGACCTTGGCCTTGATAACAGTTGGATCGTGAGTAGTATTCCCATCAACAATTAAAGCATTCAGAGCATTTCGTTTCCTCCTAACTGAAGCACAAGTATGAAAGAATCTTGGGTTTCGGTCCCCATCATTAAGCCACTTCTTCCTAGAATTTTGAAGCCAAATCTGCTCCTCAATTCTGTGAAGTCTTCATAACTCTGCTCTACAAACACTAAGCTCTTTAGCAATCCCCTGAACAGAGCTGTTATTCAGCTGCTGGGCGTC